GAATGCCGCTCTGGCTGCACGGTGATGGCGCGGAGGATGCTGTTTCAGTGGCCCCAGGGGACGTAAACGACAGGCCACTGCAGGTGCAGAGCGTGGTGCAGGCCTGGCACCGGGGGCGTCGGACCGGAATGCCCTGTGGTGTTCCAGGCTCAGGAGTGGCCGCAACTTAAACTGCCCTCATGACTCTACGTCCGACGGCCCTCAGGCGGGGAGCCCCCTTCTCCTTCACGCCCTGTCGGACCCACGTCCAGCAGCCGCACTGTCCCCCTAGGCTGGGAACAGCAGTCTGGGGCCGGCCCAGGCAGGACCAGGCTCCAGCTGCGTGGGCAGCTCTTTCTGCACCGGAGTCCCACTGGTTCCGGAACTGCCCACGTCTGGGGTGAGATGAGCTTCACGTGAATATATGAAGCAGGGAGATTTATGAATATTATTAAATTGAGACTACTTTTACGGCTGAAGGTGAACGGGGGAGCGAACCAGTGGTGCAGACTTTCCGAGAGCTCACCCCGGGTCAGGAAGACCCACGGGAGAGGGCACGGGTGGGGGAAGGAGCTGCGGTTTCGGACGGCCGGGTCCCAGGCGCTCCGGGCAGTGGTGAGCCAGCTCGTTCCTTCTAAGGCGGAGGAGTTCGGGTGTGCTGTGCTGTGCTGGTCATTCTGATAATGTTTCTGATATTTCTAATAACCGCAGAAATCCCAGACTAGATTTAATAAAATATATCAGTAACTTTATTAATACTTCTTAATAATGTCCTAATGGTACTTACAAACCGTGCAAACCCTGTCCTCCACCGGAGGCCGGGGAAGCCACTTCAAAGTCCCACCCACACAGTCCTGACCACCTCGGTTCCCGAGACCGCACACGCACACTCGGCCTCGGCCCTGGCCTTGGTCACGAGCGCGTCCTCGTCACAGCCGGGAAGTATCTCAGCCTCGTCCCCCCGACGGGCCTGCGTGTCTGCGCGCCAGCTTCCGGAGAGCGGCCAGCACCTCCTTGTTCCTCAGGCTGTAGATGAGGGGGTTGAGCGTGGGGGTGAGGATGTTGCTGAAGACAGAGAGCGCCTGGTCCTGCTCGGCGCTGTGGGACGACGTGAACGTCATGTAGATGAAGATGTTCGGGCCGAAGAAGAGGCTCACCACGGCCAGGTGGGAGCAGCACGTGGCCAGCACCTTCTTCCTGCCCTTGCCGGAGCGCATGCGGAGCACGGCCAGGAAGACGAGCGTGTAGGACGCCGTGACGAGCCCGAAGGGCAGGACGAGCAGCAGTGCAGGGCGTGCAGCACGGCGCTCGTGACCACCACCACCAGCTGGTACACAGACGTGTCCTCGCAGGAGAGCTTGATGAGCACCGGGACCTCGCAGAAGAAGTGCTGGATCTGCCGAGACCCGCAGACGGGGAAGTGCATCGGGTACACGGTGTGGATGAAGGAGCTGACCGAGCCCCCCGCCCAGCACCCGGCCGCCATGCGCAGGCAGGACCTGGGGCTCATGATGGCGGAGTAGCGCAGGGGGCTGCAGACAGCCAAGTAGCGGTCGTAGGCCATGAGCGTCAAGATGAGGCACTCCGACATTCCCAGCGTCAGGAAGAAGAAGCTCTGGGTGCCACAGCCAATCCACGAGATGGTTCTGTCGCCCGTGAAAAAGGCGGTGGCCATCTTCGGGACAATGGTGGAGGTCAGCGTCAGGTCGATGAGGGAGAGCTGGCTGAGCAGGATGTACATGGGGGTGTGGAGCCGAGGGTCCCCCCAGATCAGGACAATCAGAAGGACGTTGCCCAGGAAGGCAAGGATGTAGACCAGGATGATCACGGAGTTGAGGACAGTGGCGTGACGGAACTCGGGGAAGAGTCCCAGGAGGATGAGCTCAGTCACTGAGGACTTGTTCCCACCCGCCATGCCTCTGCAGGGATGTGCCGGGGCTGGGAGACAGGAAAACGGATTAGGGCGGCCGACATTCAGCGCAGGTCGTGAACCGATACAACAGACCGAGGCCAGAGGCGGAGATGGCTGGTCCCAGTGGTGGACTGCATGTTCGAGTCCGGGACCCAGCACCGTGAAAGTCACCGTGGGCACGTGTGCACGTGTGCCCAGAATCCCGAGAGGAGAATGGAAGAGAGGGATTGCGGGTGGCCATCCCTGGGGGGTGATTTCTCACTTTTCTCCCTCTCTCACTCTCTCTCGTGAGCGTCTGTGCCTATAGCAGACACACACTTCGGTGACGGTTGCCCGGAAGTCTATCATGGCAGGTACGGACTCACCACACTCCAGGCCGGGACAGTCTGGAGACAGCCCAGCACAGAGAGCGGCCGGGGCGCCTCCGCGGGCTGGGAGGGAAGCCTGGCTGTCCCCGGGGTCTCTGGGCCTCGGCCACAGCGCCGGCGTGGCTGCTGCAAGGGTGGGCTGTGAGCTGTTATGTTTAAGCACGAGCTCAAGTTTGTGGGTTTTAAAAATTATTTAAAAACAGCTTGAGCTGCCGTCCGCGGCGGTGCACGCGCCTCCTCTGCTCCTGTGTTGTCGCCCTGGGCTCCCCTCCGCCTCCCCCCGCCGCACCCCTCCGTCCTGTCCTCGTCGCCGGAACAGCAGCCGGGAGGAAGAAGCACACCGGGGGGCTGCGGAGCTCAGAGCCGCCCACCCCTACACCTGGGGCATCGCCGGGCGCATCGCTGGGGCGGGCGGTTCTGCGACTCCGAGGGTGCCCGGGCGGGCGCTGGCCTCCGCGCCCTGGCAGCCTTCTCGCGCCTCGTTTCTCTCCGCCACCTCCGAGGTGTTGAGCGAATCCGGGCGGTGTTCTTCCCGGGCAGCCCGGAAACCCCGGCAGGTAACGTCAGGAGAGGACGGACCTCCGACCTCGTAGACACGTGGTAAGCAGTAACTTAAAGATTGTGGTTTTCCCACCCCGGAAATCCGCGGGGCTCCCGGGGCAGCCCAGTTGCAGGCCGCGCTGGCCCGCGCTTCTCTCCCCGGCCCGCGCTTCTCTCCCCGGCCCGCCCTTCTCTCCCTGGGCCGCGCGTCGCTCCCGGGC